AATGATTAAGAGTTAAGGACTTATTGAATAGTCGTTGTTTAGTCATTATCAATTTTTTTGTTGTATAAACCTGTACGCAAAATATGTTTTAAGTAAATGTGATGGGTAATATTGATTACTTGAGTAATAAGGTTTAAACAATTTCACCTGATAGATTTATACAGTATAAGAAATAATTTTTGTGCTAATTATGTTTTGCATGCATAATTGCTTTCGAACTGTATAGAATACTAGAAATAAGTAACTAAAGTATTTGTTCTCATGTACAACTTTATCATTTGCAGTCCCGTCTTTTTAGTGCACATCTTACGTCAGTTAGGTACATATATATATCTGCATCCCTTCTAAATGTATCATTCATTAAACAAATACAAAATAAAACAAAATAATTGTCGCGCGCTTTATTAAAACAAATTCGCTTCGAAAGTGTTACAGGCAGATGGTGACGAGTTCTATGATCGAATTAGAGCTGTGGGCACGAAGGTAGGTAGTCGAGAAATAGGAAGTTATTATCTTACACACTACGCCTACCAGTGGAACAAGTTGAATCGAAGTGAGTTCGACCGTTCTGGCCGATTAAACACCATTGTGTTTGCTTGTCTAGAGCAGGTGTCCCGAAGACAGATATTGCTTGCACGCGACAACATTAAGAATTATTGATGGAACGCGTAAGATACAATTGATTTGAAATCTGACGACGGATTTAATCCTATGACCTATCCGGTTTCATCCTGCGTCTGAACATATACGGAAAGATAGAGTACCTATCCACAATACTGACTTGTAAATTACAACGCGAGATCATATACTTTTCGAATGTCTTAAGTAAATCGTACGTTAGGACTACATCGTTGTGTTACATTCGAAATTAAGTCGTTTACCTTTTTTCGAAATGTATAGTTTGCGGAAATGGTTTCTTCGACTTGAAATATCGACGAATTCAGGAATATTGATAAGTAATATGATTTCCTTTGTTATCAGTGTGAACATTACACTTGTTCGAGGTAAACTCAAGAAGTGTATATACTTCCTCTTACAAAGACAAGAAAAATATGTGAAATCAGCTTATTGTATGAATGAACGTATTCTGATAAGTATTGTACATCAAATAAAGTGATGTAACATTGAAGGTTAAAACGTGCAGGAAATAATACAGTAACAAATATATGTATACCTGATAGTATCCATCATTTTGCAATTAATACTTAAAACATTGTACACTCCAGTTTAAAATTCTGTTGAAAAATTCTGGGAGTAATTTTGATATCAAGCACAAGTTATTTAAATGGGTAGGTAACAAATGTATTAAGTAAGCAACATTTATTCTGTTTCTGCGAGGATCAATTCAAAGGATGCGGCAACGTTGTTTGTTGATTCAAGGCTTCTTGTGGTACGCCGAGGAGGACAATCGTGGCCGAACATGGTGACAGTAAGAACAGTGGACTCCTGGGAATAAATCAAGGTTCCGATTGAAATTTAATGAGGAACGTGGATGCCCACAGGTGTGCAAGTCCGGTCCTAAACGCATATAATCAGCCTACACCCTTTCACACCCCATCCTTGCCAGCCCCGATCGGTTGCTCCCGCTTAAAAGCTGCATTCCATCGACCAAACAACCAGTTCTGAATCGGTTTCGAATTCTTGATGACTCATGAATCTTCGATCGCACGGAACTATATACTTACATACCTCCGTCGGTCTTCTATCGTGCAAAGAAGAAAGTGAACGATCGTATTGGAAATTGGCTCGATCCGCACCACACCGGAAACGTGCGTTCGTGTGTTTTCACAATGAGTTTTCGCAGCGAGGAATAATTATTCTTCTGATGTATATAGACTGCTGAAAGATGAAAAAGTGAGGACTGTAAATAAATCATAATATTTCCTCGTAATACTTCCTCGTCTGTTCCATTTGTAGTATTACATTATTCATTACTATTTAGCTAATGCGGTACTCGAGGCAATTTTATAAAAACTGTTCTAACATTTACTTCGAAATTATAACTGTTTATCTACAATCATTTCTTTCTAGTTTACATTCATTCTATCAGTGAGTCAGTAGTGTTTCCTTAATGAAAAATCATCTTGTGAGAATCAAGTTTAACAGTTAATAGACATTTTTATGAGGAAGCTGAAAGAAGCTTTTAAATCAATTATCTATCAGTCACAATCTCAAATATGATTAAGATCAATTTTTAAATGAAACACTTTATTGACGAGTTTGCTTTCTTCCTAAATAAACGTCCTTTACCTTAAATTTGTATAAACAGAAATGTACATTATCATACTATACATTTACCAATTATTTGATTTTATTATTTTTTCAGTTCAGAACATAATCTTCAGCTCTAAGAAGAATTTAATGAAGCGATGACTCGATTTTTCACATGTGCAATACGCAAATACAACTGCATCAATTATGTCAACAAGACAGAAGCGATTATTTGAAACAAGAAGTCATGCTACAAGCAACACAGGATACACTCGTACGTATTTCGAAAATAACAATAAATGATACAGCATAAAATTAATATCGTTCGAACAATTGAAATAACTCGATTAAAAAATTCCGTGTTACAGCGACTTCGCGTCTTCTACTTGCATTCCTTTTTTCACGAAGAACCTGACTTTCCTAATTATTTCCCAATAATTTTTTGACCGCGTTATCGGGGGTTCTACTGCACAGTGAGAGCAATTTCCGTGGATCAAGTTCACCCTCGGTATCAAGGCGGGCGCCAAATTTCACGCATTTCACAGGAACACCCTCCGCGCGCGACAGAATCTCGACCGAAACAGGTCCGGTTTCCATCACTTCAGAATCATCGAAATCCCCGATAGCTGTGAAGAGAGGAGCGTTGCCACATAGGAACTGCAACGGGGAGTCTGCCATCGGGCCGAGACAGGCTGCTCCAGCGGTCGAACAAGTGCCAGTTGCTCGGCGGCAGTTGCCGGAGTTACCACGGCTGAACACACGTCCGCGTCCTTAGCTCGAGGATATCCTCTTTTGCATGTAGATCTACCCTCAGTTCGGTGTCCGTTGTTTGTTGTTCACCGTTTGTTTATTAATCGTTGCTGGTTACCCATTACTCGTTATTTATTCTTCGCTCACTGTTTGTCCTTCGTTGTTCGTCGTACGTCGTTCACTGTTTGTTGATTATCCCCTATTGCTTCTCTGTTGTTGGTTATTTATTGTTTGTTGATCGCTACGTATTCTCGGTTGTCGTCGTTCGTTGTTGAGTCACACGACACGGAAAGTAAAACGGGAAATCGAGTCGCCTTTCGATTCGCGCGCTGCCAGCTCCGAAATCTTGCCAGGGAAAAGGAAAGTGGGCAACGGAGGGCAGGATCCGCGAGACAGCGCGCGACACGGTACGCAAACAGAGATCATGAAAAGGAGGATGCCATGTGCCTGGAACAGTGAGTGCGTGTGAGTGGCCAGTGCGTGTAAGTACGTGCGTGTCGGACCAGTGGCTTCGGTCCTTCGCCCCTCGAGGACGTACTACCACCACCAGCCGAGGACACGATGATGATCCCGATGATACGCGCTGCCATCCTCCTATCCGTCTTCGTTCATCTCGATGCCGTCGCAAACACCATCACTATGGCCAAGGTAAGTGACTAAATACACCTTTGTACAAGTATGTACTTGTATCTGCTGCGAAAAGAAACAACTGAACCACTCGGATCCTTCGTTCAACCCATTCGCTGCCAATCACGAATATACTCGTAGTTAGGGAAGCGTTCGTGATCGGCAACACGAGTATCTTCGTTGTTTTTTAAATGTATCTTAGCTATCCGAACAGGAAGATCTTCCAATTTTGCCTTAACATTACCATTTATTGTGTTTGTTCTTTTTCTATTGATATTTAATAAGCTTTGAACTGGGAATACTCGAAATTCGTCAAGCACCTTTCTTGCTTTTGTGAAACACGATTTTTAATCAAATCTGTGGAATGATTTCGATTAAAGTTAATGAAAAACGTTATAGTTACAGTTCTTTTTTCAAATGGTTGGTTAAGTGTTAACACTAGAACTACAGGATATTTAAACTGACTTTTACATATTTCTTTATAAAAACTATAGGTTGCGTTTATTAAGATTTTAATTGAATTGTAATTCAGTTTAGTTATTACTGAATCAGCTTCGTTAATAGTTTTTCTTAGAAGTATCTGTGCTTTTTCGGTAATTGTAAAAGAGGAAATCGGGAATAGATCATGTTGACTCATTTGATAGTTCTAATGCTAATATAAAGCAAAATTATTTCGATCCGATTCGTCTCGGTATGCTTTAGATTCAAATATAGAAACAGTAAATGAATAATTATTAGTAGAATAATTATTAATAATTAATGGAACAGTATGGAAGTAACATTTGGGTTTATGTATTTCCATGTGTTCGAAATTCACTTTTGTTAAATTTTGATAATAAATTTAGATCAAACTATGTACCGCAAGCAGCTTTTAAAATTGGATGCCTCGTAGAAAATGAGCAAACTACTGACTAAAATTACTAAACTCCTACTTACAAAACTTACCAAAACCTAAAAGACTTCTACAATGAAAATTCGAATTGAATGTATCTTATTAGATTCGATGTTCCAGAAATTTTTGTAAACCTATATTTCTGAAGATACCAATACATTTTATAAATTTTTAGCTATAAGTAGTTCAGCCCTTTTATATAGAGAATGATGAGCTCCATTAAATATTCCATCAAAAAATATATAATTCCATTTAAAAGAACGGAGTCGAACTTTATTTTATATGTTCTCTACGCATCCATACAAAAAGAAGTTGTGTACTTATGTGAAATAAACTATAGCTTTCCAAGTTCAAAAATTGTCTATTATTAACACCTTGCTAACCAATGAATTTATTTACAGAAAACGTCTTTAAACTTTTAATATACATACTTCACCGACGTATAACATGGTAAAATAATTTAAATCAATTAAGCTGACAAATACAGTTTAGAAAGCTGTTACAGAGATCTATATTTCTTTCGGGCATAAATTAATGTACAATAAATGCAACTCGACTCACAAAGAATTCGGACCACAAAGACACAAGTACACTGATAACAAATCAGTAAGGTGTTAAACGATGTACACAAAACACATTTTCATTTTTGGTTACAGAACCTCGCGTTAAATTGCCTTTTTTGATACTGGTCCAACTTGTTTCGAGATGTATTACTTTCTCATGAAGAATCTCACTGTTACAGTTATTTTTCAATAATTTCTTAATTTCGTTATTGGGAGTTCTGCTGTAATTAGGCGTAGCTGTTCGGCACAATAATCACAGCGACAACAGTGGTTTCGAAAGCCGAGGAAACTTCTTGCAGTCGGTGGCTAACAGAAAAATTATTAGCACTTGGCGTGCTACACAAGCGTTGGCCTTCTAACAATAAGTGCTTAAGTATCCCGCCGCGCGATACAAATAGTCTTTTGTTTGCACGAGGCAAAGATGAAAGGTAAATAGCGGTGTAAGCGACACCGCTTGATTAAAAGATCCGACATCGGCCCTCTTTTTTCTTCCTCTCCTTCCTTCTATTTTAATATAATTAGAAATACGCGATACCACCGTTTTTCTCTGCGAGCTAATGATTAATCGGAGCACTTCGTTTGTACCATGCTCGTTGCTAACTTAATTATGTAGAGCACCGATAACTCGCCGCCTTTACAGCCGTAACAAGTAACAAGATAATTTCGATTTCTCGTTACGAAATTTTATTTCATCGAGCTCGTTGTTCTGTTCCGTCCAATTCCGTACGGATTTCGGGCTGATTAATCTTTCGTGCGCGTGCATGTGAATGCATAAATTAGTCATCAATTATATCGATCTTATAAATATTTAGAATTCAATAGTAATTCAATTGATTCTCATATAATTAGTAATTCTATAGAATTAAATTCTTTTCTTTTACTTGATGTTTACAATGATATCCAATTAGCGACGCAACACTAAAATATTTTCGTTTTTCCTCTTTACAATTTAACATAATTGAATACCTTCTAATTGTAAGTCTTATTACGAAGACTCAATATGTATTTTTACGCAATTTTTGTATCGCTCTTAAAAGAGTTTCTTTTGTGAACTTACTAGAAAATATAAATTATCAAATAAAAAGGGAAACACTTGTACGATTTGTCAAAGGTAAACAGTTATGAGGTAAGAGTAAAAGATTGACTAGTATTTTATTGTTCTTTATGATATCGAATTGTAAATAATAATAGGAATTGTATTACTTTATTCGTCTATCATCGAAATTTTCTTTAGATTGAACTGCACACTATCTATTTTTTATTTGATACCGCTCTCTCATTCATTTCTATTTATAGCATTTATCCATGCATGTGTATATTTTCTCTTATCTTACAACTTTACTTAATCTTCATCTTAAGGTATTCTTTTCATTTCCTACCTTACTTTGCTTATTAATATCTATTTATTTATCTTTTCTGCATTCTTTTCTTATTTTCTATAAATTTTTTAACGTTGTAATTATTTCTTCTTCTTTTCTCCAAATGTCATATACATTTTCCCATTTGTCTGAATTTAAAAAAATTTGTTGAATTTATTGTAAGAAGTCCGTGTTTTTTCCCGGCCGAATTCTCTACATTTTTATCATTTTCTTTCTTTTCCTTTTCATTCTCCTTTTTCTTTTCCTTTAATTCTCGAAGGTCCACTCTTATGTTCTTCATACGTATCCATTAAACTTCGAAATCTAAATTTTTGCTTTTCTTTCCAATCTCTGTATCTATTTATCCTTTTTCTTAAATTCATCCCTTATAACCATCCCTCTCCCTTCCACCTTTTTGTTCCTTCTGTTCACGTATCTTTTTCTTTCGTAGAATCTTAGAATCATTCACTCCTCACTCCAATTTTTCTTTCTTTCTACTCTTTCCTGATCTCTTTCAGTATTCCATAACTTCTTATTTTTCTTTTAAAACTTTTAAAACTATGTTTACATTTTAAATTTCCCCGCCCCTGTTGACTCTTTGCACTCAAGAGGAGATTCCTAATAGCCACTTGATTTCATACAGCAAAATTATAAAGTTTGATATTCAATATTAAGCTTCATGTAATACATCAGTACGTGGAATATTCAAATAAAATACCTTTCTTTCTTAACTAATATGTAATTTCTGCTTAAGTTACTTTCAAAAAATCTTATCTATATCTCATCAGAAAATGTTAATATTCCCATTGAATAATCTTCGAGTGTAAAGGGTTAATATTCTTTATCCCTTTTTTTCTTTTCCTCCTACACGTTGTTTCACCCTGTTCTTTCATTCGCGTGTTCTTTCTTTCCTGCATTTCTTCTTCGTTCTATCAAGCTCTTTCTGTTTCACTCCTCTTCCTCAAACCTCGTTTTCTCCATAGCTACCTTTGCTTTCGCCCTTAGCGTTTTTTAGTGTTCTCCTGTCCCTCTGCGTCTCCCATTTCCATCTTCGTCCAGTAGTCTTGTTTCTCTTCTTTCATTCCCTCCCTCTCTCGTTTCGTTCTTCTCACTCCTTCTTTCATTACGACACCAGCAGGCAGTATTCCGAATCAATCCCCTCTTCTTCTTTGAACTTTCTTGCTTCTTCCCATATCAACCTGTCCCCAATCACATAATCAATCACACACTTCGCTGCTGCTCTAACTTATGTTGACTCCCTCTTCTCATACCACAGTTTTATTCTTTGATTTCGTATCATTTTCCTTTTTTCTTCATTTTCTACTTCGCACCAACCTCTGTCCACTCCTTCCATAGAAATTTCTTTCTACAATCACCTATTTTTCTTTCTCTGTTTTATTCTTTGTGTTCTTTACCTACGATGTATATTTTAATGTCCTTTCCGTATCTTCTTTCGCTCTTTTTGCATTCACTGTCACTATCATTCATTCTGTGGCATTCTACTCTTTTGCATATTATTTCCTTTTCCTCCTTTTCTAATTCTGATTGCCGTTCTTGCATTCCTTTCTTTGCCTCCGTCAACGTTTCCATGTCTTTTAGGTTTTGGTGCTGAGAGCTAGAAAATTAAATAATGAAAAAATTATGGTACTGTTGCTAAATGTTACCTAAAAAGATTTTTCAATTTTACTAGTATTTTTTATCTTACTTAGTGCTGTATATTCTTAAAGGTTTAAATATATTTTAAATATAATCCACGAGAAATCTACACTAATTTTCTGTACAATTTAATAGCATAAAGATATATGTACATATTTACTAACGCCATGAAAATAACATTAAACCGATAAGATTTATTTGAACTTGTATAACATACCTCTGAAAAGTTCAATACTTTATGTACTCGAACCCAGTAAAAATTGAGTTCCCCCAATTGTAAGTTACAAAATTATATTTCCCCGATATTCCTATAAAACGATTAAGACTAATCAATTTTTCCAGCGATACGGCAATCGAATATAGACGATCCTCTTTACAAGCGTTCAGGAGAAAATCGCGATTTATTTATGTCGGGGTCATTCGTTTCCGAGTTATCGCAATTAATTACGATAACACCGGCCGAGTGTCCAGCGAGAAATTCTTCTTTCATCGGCCCTCCAATTGTTTGTAAACTATATCCCAACATTGTTGAGGCGAGGGGTAGCGAGACGC